ACCTGCGTCTGACCTCAAAGTGCACAAGCTTCAAACTTCAGCGTTGGCTGCGATTTTGAAGCTGAAATCGCGTTCGGTGTGAACGCAGCATTAGTTGGCAGAAACAGTGTCAGCCTTGTGTTTCTACCCTCACTACATGCATCAGACTGAAGAGCAGATCCTGACGTATTTTCCTGTCATTAGGAACAAGGCTGGCTGCTTGAAGAGTCCTGAAGCATCAGTTTTTCAGGACGGTGTGTCAGAAGATCTGACTCGGAGTTAAAGAGTCCAGTTCTTCTCTGTGTGTCGTTTCCTCTTTCATCTGATTCGAACATCTACTGCTCACAGCTTGTGCTGAAGTCAGAAGAAAACATGACATTTGATGAACAAAGTCACAACAATGACAGAACAAATGCAGGAAAACTTAAAGATGTTTAGAAGAGTTCAAACCAGCTGAAGAACTGGAGCCGGACTGCCTCAGCTTCACGCTACTTTCCTTACTGAGGACTTTACAACAGAGCTCACTGATGACGTCATCTGTTAGCATGCTAAGCTATTAGCGCAGCGAGCTACCCACGGGCTTCTAAAGAGAGGAAAGCCTTTAGCTAAGCAGGAAGCTGCTGCTGCTGCTAACATCCTGACATTAAACAGAAAGAATCAAAAACACAAACCTGCTGCGTGCAGCTGATGGCTGACTGTAAACAGTTTGTGTTTTACTCTTCTGATCTTCTCTTCTTCCTCTGTCCTGACCTGCCGTCTCCGCGTGCAGCTGCTGCAGCTCCTCTCTGTCCAGCAGAGCACAGAGTTAGCTGCTGCTGGCTACAAAACAACAAGGCTGAACGCATCTAGCTTCCAATGAAAAGAGGAAGTCACTTCCGTTAGTGGCCGGCCTTCAAAATAAGAGCTCCAACTGAACTGCTCTTCAGAGAAGCAGGTCACTCCAGGCTCTTATTTTGAAGGCCAGCCAGCAGACGCTACCAGAAGTCTTGTAGTATCACTGCTGCTAACTTTATTGTTCTGTAGCTACGAGCTAACAGTGTGTCCCGTGGCCTGCTGCTCAGAAGAGTTGAACTCAGAGTTATATTGAGCTGTAACAGCTCGGTAAATGTTGAGAGATGTGGAGAC